ATATTAATAAAACTATATATATAATTTCAAGATTTGACAAAACAAATAAATATTTAATGTCGGGGATGATGTTGAAATCAGATGATGCTGAAATTTGGGGGCCTTAATTTGAAAATAAAAACCCTACTAAAATCTACCTACACTCTTTTATTATAAACACTAACCCTAAATTCTAACTGAACTATGAAAAAAAAGCTAAACAAAACACCCCAAAAAAATTTTAAATTTTCATAATAAAATAAGTTAAAATTTCAGTATCATCCGATTTCAGCATCATCTCTGACATTTAATAAATAGTTTTATGTTTTAAAAATTTAAAAATATATTATAAAATTAAATATTTAAAATTAGAGAACTATTATTTATATTATGATTTTTTTGCTATTTGCATTATTAATTTTATTATATTATTTTTTTAAATTATTTTAGACTTTAATTAAAGATATTTTGATAATCAATTAATCAAATTAAATAAAATTATTTTATTTAAATTCTATAAAACCATAATATTTGAATAAAAAAATTTTTATTAAATTTGATTAATTGGTTACTAAGATATTTTTAATTAAAATATTATAAATAAATTTAAAAATTTTTATATAATATATATTTTAAAAATTTTTAAACTTTTATTAAGATATTTTAGCAACTAATCAATTAAATTTGATAAAAATTTTTTTATAAATTTTATAATTTTATTAAATTCAAATAAAAAACTTTTATTAAATTTGATTGATTGGTTATCAAGATATTTTTAATCAAAGTTTTGAAATAATTCAATATAATTTTTATATAATATATATTTTTATTATTAATATAAAAAAAATAAGGTTATACAAATTTTGAATATCTATCAGATTTTTGTATATAAAAATTTTTAAGTATATATTTTTTTAAAAATTTTAATCAATTTTTTTAAATATACTAGATTTAGTACAAATTGGTAAATCCAATCTATTAATAATAGTTAAATTATCAAATTTGATTTAGTAGTTTTTAAATAATTAAGATTTAAAAATTAACAAATATTGTTATATAAATTAAAATTAATAATCTTTATATTTATATAATTAATCTTTATATTTATATAATTAATCTTAAGCATTTCAAAAATTACTATATTATTTAATATAGTCAGACCTTTTTAAATGCATTGCGGCGGGACTATATGCAAAAAAATTGAGTCAAACGTGTATTTAAAGAGATACTGTATTTAGGAAGATAAAAATCTAGAAGTGTTATATTAGTAAAGCCCAAGCGAAGATATAAATTTAGGGAGCTTTTCATAGAGCGTGCATTTAGGGAGGTTGCATTTAGAGGGGTTTGATTGTAGTTATTAGAATTAAAAAAATTAGCTCTACAACTTTACTTAGTAAGATTTTCTAAAAATTAAAAAAAGATAAATATTTTTATGCAAAAATAAAATTTATTATATAATATAGATATATTAATAAAAAAATATATGTAGTAATAATATATATATATTGTTTTGGTTATAGAAATATATATAATTTTTTATTTTAAATTATTACTTGTTTGCTTTTTATAAACTGTTTATACCGTATATACGTTATATAAATTTATTAAAACACACCAATAATGTTTAATATTGCGGTTGCTACATTTTAAACCTAACTAATAATTAATATTAATTAGTATTAATTACTGTAGTATTTACTGTAGTATTTACTGTTGTATTTGGTATTTAATAATTTTCAAAAAAATTTTTAACAGTTTTAACATTTATACGTACGTACGTATGTAGTAACTTTAACACGTACAATATTATTCGAACCTAACTTCTAAATTTTATAAAAATATATGTGATATTAAGCACACGGTATACGCATTATAATATTATTTATACAGTATTAAAATACAGTAATTTTGCATACGTACGTACGTACGTACGTATTGTGAAAATTTGTTTAATTATTTAAAAATATATAAGTCTATTAAAACCTGTATTTTTATCGTTATCAAAAATATCAATATATCGATATATATATATATGTATATGTATATGTATATGTATATATATATATATATATGTATGTATATATACCAAGTTTGCTAAATTAGTTTAAATTTGTTTAACAAAATAACGAATTGATGTATACAACAAATTAATATTTTTGATTATAATTAGTTTAACAACGAAAAAAAATTATATTGTTTAACAAAATAACGAATCGATGTACATACACAGAAAATTAATTAATTTTTTTTTATTTTTGACTATAATTAGTTTAAGCGAAAATTATATTGTTAAACAAAATGATATTTCGATGTATATATGTATACAACAAAAATTAATGATATAAAATTTCATAAAACATATCAACATAATCTACTCAAAAAAAAAACATTGACATACAAAAATAACAAAACTTATACCAATTATATTAATATCAATACGAAAATGCAATCTAAAAAGAATACCAATGAATAAAATTCATATAACTAACCTACGGAGTTTTTTTTATCAAGTTAGATGCAAATAATTAATTATACATAAAAATCTGTACGTATTACGGCGGAGTTATTATTATGATGATTAAACCAATTAATAAGGGATCTAGAATCTTAGTAATTTCTAATAACATACATTAATATCGATATATACCATGCATTATACTGTATTAAAAATTTAGATTTTTTAGCTTCAGGATTTCTATGTAACGTTACATGATCTACGAATCATTACGTAAACTGAACATAGCCGATAACCACAAGAAGTCCATGGCTTAGAATAATTAATAATATATAGAATATATAGTATAGTCGCTATACCACGTATACTATATAATACTATATAATACTATATATATAATACTATATAATACTATATAATACTATACGAATACTATACGAATAATATTACGTATAATATTATGTATAATACTATATTTGTATAATATAATATATACTATATTTAAATTTAGTTTAAAACATTTGTTAGCTTTTTTTTTATTTGTAAACACATAATAATTATACATAATCATTATCATTATACGTAAAATAATCATTATAATAATAAAAAGAAAATATAATAATCATTCTTAATATATAGTAGGAAAACATTAAAATGATGAAACCGTCACACGATTGTTTGATCGACAAATAATTCGTCAATAACAACAGGAGTCAATGGACGGCCGAAACTTGGATACGTCCAATTGATGAATAAGGTTCATCACATGAAACGAAATAACACCGCTAGTCGACCAAAAGAAGTCCAAAAGTATATCAATTTGAGACTAAACGTGCATTTTTGTTTACTTGTATATAAAGAACAATGACGGTTTAGAAAAGCAAGGGAACAAAAAAGGAAGTCCCGTTGCAGATCCAAGAAGATGTCATATTGCGTTGATTTGCCATTTTCTCAACTATTATGCTCTTTTCTCATTATATCATGCTATATTATATCATGTTATAATATAGCTATGTATAAATAAGTGGAACGTCCAGAAAAGTAAGTTTTTTTAGGCATATGACCAATTAGCCGTGATACGAACATATTTATTACCGTTACATAATCATGTGATATAATAAATTATGGTTATATGTCGTATGTATATCTAAAAAGCTTTGTGTAATTTTACTAATATAATATCGATAATATCGATAATATCGATAACTATACATACGTACTGTACGTACGTACGTACTTAGGCTTATCTGATATCAGTTATATAATTAACGTTTAACGTTAATTTTTTTTTTTTATAAATTTTTTTAGTCATTTTTGTTGTCAGGTGTGAAATAATCATTGTTTGTCTAATAAATCTTAGAATTGGTTAACTATTCATAAATATTATACATATTATTACATATCATATATATTATATATACATTTTATATACATTTTATATATATTTTATATATTAAATATATTATATATATTATGTATATGTATTATTATCATGTACGTATTATCGTTATGATTATTATGCTCACCGAGACTTATACGTATCAGTATGCTAATATATATATATATTTTATCTATATATGCTAATTAAACTGTTATCTACATTTTTTAAATTAATATAAAAAAAAAGATACACACACTTTCAGTTTCCTAAAATAGTCACATTAGGTATATATTAAGGTAGTAAGGGCGTTAACTTAAAGGTTAACTTACATTCAAACTTTTCCTCTCAACTATTTTTCCACTATAAATATCACATTAAAATTTCGATTCTTCCGAATTTCTCCTTCGCAAAAAAAGGTAATTTATTTTTTCTCCGCTATTACAGTATTACAGTATTACTGCTATGACTGTAATAAATACCTGTTTTTGATTGTAAATCACTTCGTCTTCCATCTATTATCCCAGTAAACATCAAGGATTTTGTCTTTGCTATTCCGACCTATCGCCAGCGTGAAACTTGTGTCTCCTGAATTTTTCTACTCTTACTGTCTTATAGACTTGGTATTATTATATATTTTCTCGATTAATATCTCGATTAATATCTCGATTAATAATATCTCGATAATAATATCTCGATTAATATTTTCACATAATATTTTCATATTTATGTTTTAAAAAAAAAAAAAATTTTTTTTTCTAAATTATTCCATAGTTGGTCGTCTCAGATTTTATATAAAATATATCTTCGCCCCTTTATATTCCCTGTTAATTGTTTTAGAATTATATAAATCACATGTCAGTCAGGTATCGTATCTTTTTTTTTTTTTCGTTAAATAAATTTTCTCTACACGTTATATACATATATATATATATAAATATATACACGTTATATATTATATATATTTATTATATTTATTATATTTATATATTATATATATTATTTATATATATATGTGTATATATATACGTTTTTTTTTTTCTTTGATTTATCAAGTGTTAATTACACTCTTCACGCACGATACGTTCGCTTTATTCATTTCGTAAAATTGTCTTCGTTCGTTCATGTCATTTATTAGAGTTTAAGTAACTCCTTCGAATCCGTTTCAATTTTCAACTTTAAATAAATATGTCAAAAGAAAACCACGTAAATAATCCAGATACCGTCGAAGATACATCTAGTGCCGTTCGTGATGATTCCGATACGATCGCAAAATCTGATTCTGAAAGTACCGCAAATGTTACTACCACTTCAGTTACTTCTGTTACAACTTCTTCAAATGATATCTCAAATCCTCCCACCTCTACTCCTCAACAACCTTCTCCAAAAACTCAAAAACAACCTTCTTCTCAAAAATCTATAAGAAAAACAAGAACTTCTAAAGCGGTTAGTACCGCTGAAAATTCTTCTAATTCTTCCGTTGATAAAGTAGATTCCGTCTCTGCTGCTCCTATAAATATACCGTCCTCCTCTTCCTCCGTTCCTGCTTTCGATAATTCATCTGGTCAATCTGCTAATATTCCTCGTCGTCACTTACCACAAAAAGATGTAACTCAAGCAAATATTGCCAATCGTTATGTCGAGTTCATTTTATATTGCAATCCTTCCGCTCCATCGGATTTAGACGTGTCATCGCTCATTCGTTCTTTTAATGCTGTCCCTAAATCTGATGGTAAAACTTTTGAAACTTGGGTCCTTTTTCAACTTGTTTCTAAACATCATTCTGGTGAAATAAAAACTTGGACTAAATTGGCTCAGCAACTTGGTGTTGAACGTACTAGCGGTTCAAGTCCTCAAAAAATTCAACAATATGCCGTGAGGCTAAAAGTATGTCTTTTTAATTTTTTTATTTTTATTTATTTTTTTCTATTATTTATTTGTCTGCTAGCGTATGTTTTTTGACAATAGGATTATTATCTTTTACGTTGCACAAATCACATGATCAGCACCCATTTTTATCTCACGCGTCCGTATATAATTATAAAAAAAATAAATGCTGATTTATTCTTGTATTATATAAATTTCTTTTTATATATATATTGATATTTAGAAATGGATGCGTTCCATTCATATTGATGCCTTTTTCGATTATATTTTATCGAAACCAAATGAGTATTATGAAGATCCTCAAAAAAATCCTACCGGTGC